AAAAAAAAAAAAAAAAAAAAAAAAAAAAAAAAAAAAAAAAAAAAAAAAAGCACAATGAAAACTGTCGCTGCTAATTATGATTTTACCATAAGACTCTCAATTTACTGAAATAACAAACATTTCAGTATTTCTTCTTCCTTTAAATATATATATTTCTAATTTTTTCCCTATTAAAATTATTATAATTTTTTAGACCCTTTCATCAAATTTAATTTTGGTTATCTCTTTAATGTATATTTTTTAAAAATATTCTCCATGACAAATATGACATTTTCTGTCCGTTTATTTATTTATTTTTAAATTTAATCATCGTCATTTAAAATGATAATTAGTACGTTTAATCACTAATTAGGAGGTCCGACGCGAATCCCGCGTCATTCAAACAGTAACTAAAGCTGAGTAATGATTTTGTCTCAAGGAAAAAAAATAAAAAAAGACTGAAAAAGCAAACTTTAGACAAATTTGTATATAAAGTCAAAAAGTTATATATATATATATATATTTGACTATATTAAAGCTTATATTGAATTTTTATCAATTAATGCTTATAATTTATTTAAAAAGACAAAAAAAATGATGTCACATAATTAATATATCGTACAACTCATATATAATGTTAATTTTTATTATTTACGTGATTTTTTATATATCTAGGTGGCATGAAGCCAAGCCCAACTGAAGGCCCAATTGTAGAATTGGGCTTTTATAAAGGTGAATGGGCCTTACTTGTGGGCCGTGTATAAGTCCGGCCCACCATACCGGAACTCAATTGCAGTGTTATGCAGAAGCTCATGCCTGGTGTGCCGAAGAGGAAGAGAAGGAAGATGCCCAAACACGGAAGCATCCACTGTACGTCGAGGCATCATATACTTCCGCCGGAGACACGACTTATCGACCCGAGGCTCGTTGTACTTGGATAAAAACGCGACTTATCGACCCGAGGCTCGTTGTTCATGTTGGTCGGATCGTGGAGTTAATACGAGCTCAAAGATGCACCTGCTCCGAAGATGTTGCACTGACGGCTATCAAGGCCTATGCGAAGTGTTCAATGCCCGATCAAGCGCTGTATTTGTTTCAACGCATGGTTGACATTTTTGGGTGTAAACCTTGAATCAAGTCATATAACTCTATGTTTAATGCGTTCATTGAGTCTAATCAGTGGAGCCGGGAATCAAGATATCGTGCAAGAAGAAGCAGTTTGAAAAGGCGAAGAGATTATTGAATTGGATGTTGGAGAAGGGTTTGAACCCTAATGTTTTAAGCTATGGTACTTTAATTAATGCACTAGCGAAGGATGGCAAGTTATCGGATGCCGTGGAGGTGTTTGATGAAATGTCTGAGAGAGGGATGAACACTGATGTTATATGTTATAATATTCTGATTGATGGGTTTTTTAGAAAAGGAGATTTTGAGAAGACTACTGAGATTTGGGAGAGATTACTGAGGGATTCTTCAGTTTATCCGAGTGTGGCAACATATAACATTATGATAAATGGTTTATGTAAGCTGGGTAAGTTCGATGAGAGTATGGAAATATGGAATAGAATGAAGAACCAAAGGTCAGTCGATTTATTTACTTTTAGTTCTATGATTCACGGTTTGAGCAAAGCAGGAAACTCCGATGCTGCTGAGAAAATTTATTTGGAGATGATTGACAGTGGGTTATCGCCTGATGTGCCAACATATAATACAATGCTCAGGGGTCTATTTCGAGCTGCCAAACTAAGTAAATGCTTTGAGTTGTGGGAGGAGATGGGTAAGAATAACTGTTGCAATATCGTTAGTTATAAATATTGATTCAAGGGCTGTTTGACAACAAGAAAGTGGAAGAAGCGATTTGTAATTGGCAGCTCTTACATAAGAGGGGCTTAAGGGCAGATTCAACAACATATGGAGTGTTGATTCATGGGCTGTGTAAGAATGGATACTTGAATGAGGCTTTAAGGATATTAAAAGAAGCTGAAAATGAGGATGCCGATTTGGATACTTTTGTGTACTCCTCAATGATTCATGGATTATGCAAAAAAGGGAGGTTGGAGCAAGCGGCAGAGCTGATTCATCAGATGAACAAACATAAATATAAACTGAATTCTCATATTTTCAATTCATTGATTAATGGATGTATCCGAGCTTCTAAACTTGAAAAGGCTATTTTTCTTCTAAGGGAAATGAGCAACAAAGACTGTGCTCCTACTGTAGTCTCCTACAACACTATTATCAATGGTCTGTGTAAGGTAGAAAGATTTAGCGATGCATATCTTCTTCTAAAGGAGATGCTGGAAGAGGGTTTAAAGCCTGATATGATTACATATAGCTTGTTGATCGATGGCCTGTGTCGAGGAGAAAAGTTCGACGTGGCACTTAACTTATGGCATCAATGTATTAACAAGGATCTTAAGCCCGATGTAACCATGCACAACATCATAATTCATGGTCTTTGTACGACCCAAAAAGTTGATGTTGCACTGGAGATCTTTACTCAAATGGCTCAGGTCAACTGTGTTCCGGATCTTGTAACACACAACACCATCATGGAAGGTGTTTACAAAGCTGGAGACTGCCAGGAGGCTTTAAAGATTTGGGACCGTATCTTGGACATCATGGAAGGTGTTCACAAAGCTGGAGACTGCCAGGAGGCTTTAAAGATTTGGGACCGTATCTTGGAAAAGGGTCTTAAGCCAGATATTATATCCTATAACATTACTTTTAAGGGACTCTGCTCTTGCGCTAGAGTTTCAGATGCCATTGGGTTCCAATATGATGCCCTGCATCATGAAATTCTTCCAACTGCCACAACATGGAACATTCTTGTTAGAGCAGTTGTTGGTGATAGATCATTAATGGAATATGCTCTTAATGCCGAGTCTCGGACGTGATTTGATTCTTATGCGATGCTCGAAATCCACGAATTCTTCGGACTGCCATAACATTAAACGTTCTTGCTAGGGAAATTATTCATGATGGATCTTCAACACGATCCTCTTGATTGAAATGATTTAACAAGTAAGTCTTTCCTCCCCCTCTCCCCTCCAAATCCCAATTTATTCAACTAGATATCTTCTTATGAATTATACTGTTTCCTGTGACTGTTTTATCTCTTGCTAGGTAGTTCTGCCTATAGTGTTGTTAACTGCTGGTTGAAAAATATTCAAATCCAAACAGCACAAATGTAGCTAGACGTGTTATCACAGGCATTCAGCTTAAGAGTACATATACTGTGAGATACCGCATCGGTTGGGGAGGAGAACGAAGCATTCTTGATGCATTCTTTATAAGGGTGTGGAAATCTCTCCCTAGCAAACGCATTTTAAAAACTTTGAGGGGAAGTTCGAAACGGAAAACCCAAAGAGGACTGAGGGGAAGTTCGAAAGGGAAAACCCAAAGAGGACAATATCTGCAAGCGGTAGGCTTGGACCGTTACAAATGGTATTAGAGCCAAACATCAGACGATGTGCTAGCAAGAAGGCTGAGCCTCAAACATTAGGCACTATTACAAATGGTATTAGAGCCAGACATCGAGCGATGTGTTAGCAAGAAGGCTGAGCTTCGAAGGAGGGTGAACACGAGGCGGTGTGTCAGTAAGGACGCTGGACTCCGAAGGGGGGTAGATTGGGAGGTCCTACATTGATTGGAGAATGGAACGAGTGCCAGCGAAGTTGTTGGGCCCCGAAAGGAAGTGGGTTCTGAGATCCCACATCGGGTGGAGAGGAGAACGAAACATTCTTTATAAAGGTGTGAAAACCTCTCTCCTAGCCGATGAGTTTTAAAAATCTTGAAAGGAAGCCCGAAAGGAAAGCCTAGAGAGAACAATATCTGCCAGTAGTGGACTTAAATTTGCTCTGAACTAGTAAACTGCAGTTTCTTGGCTTATCGAGTGCTTTGATCAGATATTATCAACTTATAGGTAGCTGCTCTATGCATTGTCACTTGCATTCATCAATCCTTGTATATCTTATTTGTTATTTGTGTTCTTACTCTTGAAGCGACTCCAAGGCTCTTCGGCATAGAGGTATGACCATCATTTTAACGATTACCGAGTCTCCTTAATTTTTATTTTGAAGTTTCGATGGCTGACCAGTGATGTTCAAGGTTCTCTAATTTTCATTGTTGTAGTAATACATTTCTTAGGCCTATATTAATATCATGTTTCCAAAAGAGTTACAATTTTGATTCAAATTTGAAAGCTTTTCAACTGGGCACGAACATCTTAAAAAAAATGTAGATGGATAGATAGCAGGAAAATATATGTTCTGCTCGCTATTTTATCAAGCTCCTCTGAAACTTGCATAGATCATGTTGTAATTATGTTGAAGATATTGATAAAAGATAGTTTCAAATGAAAATTCTAAGCATCAAATGTTGTAATTCATTACAGAGGTCGTGGTGATTGAAGTCATAATCACCAAGGCCAAATGTTATCGATGCAAAAGTAACGTAGCTTGATGTATCAGACCCGAGCAGAGAGCATTTACTTGGGGTTATGTCTCATGCTATAGTTCTTATTTTCCATCTTTTGCTCATGCTTTCAGCAATATAACAAGACTTCTTCACTCTTTCCTCCGGTTGTCTTTGATTTCTGTTCTTTCTATTTCAGATGACATCCTTTGCTCATAAGAAAATCGAGAAACCAAAGCAGCAAGCATTGCCCCAAGAACTGCAACTTTCCGCCAATCAGGTGAAGAAACGAATGATTCGACAATCGCCACGACTAGCAGGCCAATCAATACAAGACAGATATATCGCCTCGTCTTCGAACCAGCAGCATTTTCTTTAGTAAGCTCTTCAATCTTCTCCATTTCCACTTTGTCTGCGGGCTTCTTCTGCCTCATGTTCTTAAAGAAAAGACCTTCATTTCGTTCTTCTTCAATTTGACCCTCAAACTTCGCCAACATATCATCATTCTTCTCTATTTCCTGCCTGTTCAACTCTGCAGACTCCTCAAAAACTTGCATCTGGCTCTCAATGTTCTCCATAATCTGTTCATTAAAACAAGAACTGGGTCATATTACAAACTGCAAAATTCAGTGACAAATGAGAAAGGAACCAAATATAGACCAACACCGACCCGTGCACTGGCTTCATCGAGCCCTCTGAGGGCATCTTCTCCAATCTTCTCAAACTCCGCATTGGCATCTTCAGCAAACTGTGTGAGATCAGCTGATTTTTCGTCTAAGAAGTCGGTAAGTCGGAGTTTCTGAGTTTGAAGTTGTGCTATTCTGGCCAGTATCTCCTGCTTTTGTGAATCTCCTTCAGGTGGCGTGGAAGAACTTGAATCAGAGGTGTTGGGCTGGCAGCGACACAAGAAGGAGCTCTTTGAACTGGGAAATCTTGCTGTGTAGAAGAAGGTATTTCTATGGACTGGGAAACAGGTTTGAACTGGTTTGAACACTATCATATTTGTTTATCTTAGAGAGAGAGAGAGAGGAGAATGATTGGATTTCTTTTGGACCTCTCATTTTACTATTTTTATCTCTTAATATATATATAATATGAGATATGGGCCCATTCCTGCAAAGCCCCATTACATTTCGGCTTGAGTCCATTGGAAAACAACGCAACAAGCCTTTAGTGGGCCAACAATAGGCCCAAGTAGATCAATCAGGTACATAAAGGGGTCAATGATATAAGATATGGTCCCATTCCTGCAAGGCCTCTTACATTTGGGCTTGAGCCCATTGGAAAACAACGCATCAAGCCTTTAGTGGGCCAACAATAGGCCCAAGTAGATCAATCAGGTACATAAAGAGGTCAATGATATAAGATATGGTCCCATTCCTGCAAGGCCCAAGTAGATCAATCAGGTACATAAAGAGGTCAATGATATAAGATATGGTCCCATTCCTGCAAGGCCCCTTACATTTGGGCTTGAGCCCATTGGAAGACAATGATATAAGATATGGTCCCATTCCTGCAAGGCCCCTTACATTTGGGCTTGAGCCCATTGGAAAACAACGCATCAAGCCTTTAGTGGGCCAACAATAGGCCCAAGTAGATCAATCAGGTACATAAAGAGGTCAATGATATAAGATATGGTCCCATTCCTGCAAGGCCCAAGTAGATCAATCAGGTACATAAAGAGGTCAATGATATAAGATATGGTCCCATTCCTGCAAGGCCCCTTACATTTGGGCTTGAGCCCATTGGAAGTCAATGATATAAGATATGGTCCCATTCCTGCAAGGCCCCTTACATTTGGGCTTGAGCCCATTGGAAGACAATACATCGAGCATTTAGTGGGCCATTAGGCCCAAGTAGATCAATCATGTTACATATAGGGGTCCATAATATGATATATGGGCCCATTTCTGCAAAGCCCCTTACATTTGGGCTTGAGCTCATTGGAAGACAATACATCGAGCATTTAGTGGGCCAACATTAGGCCCAAGTAGATCAATCATTTTACATACAGGGCCTTGGACCCCAAACTTAGTGGACCTGAACTTGACTATTGGGCCGAACCCAATTTGTCGGAATCAGAAAAACAAGGTTCGTTCTCCGTACGACAAGAAGTCCCACAAAAGTACGAACATAAAAAAAGTTACTAGGTTGACTCTTAAATAACGGTGAAGTAAAAGTAAAGATTTTTAAAAGGAACAAACAAACCATAACCCTATTTTAGTCCAAACCTGATTGCTCCTCTCAACAACCTAACTCTCCATTATTTTTTACCATATTTAATTATAATATATTTTAGTCCAATAAGTATCGATCGAGTTGAAAAAATGGTCAGGTAAAAAGTCCAATCAAGCATAATAACGATGTTTCGCTCACCGATTCGGTCGTGTTTATGAATGTCCTCGTTTCATCATTTTTGCATCGATATATTTTCTCCATTTCTCAAATCTACGGTTAAGTTTCGGATTTGAATCTTCTCGAAGTTTTATTTCGAAAAAAATATATATATCAAAGTAGATGTAAAAAAGTTAAATAAATTCTTTTTATACCCTTACTTTGCCAAGTAATTTGAATTGACATACCACTTAAATTCATAAATTTGAGATTTAAATATTTAGTATTTGATCTGTTGAGTGTTCTTTTGGCAACTCCATTCGGCAACTCCATTCGGGTCACAATTTGGTGTGATACGTGACTGGATTTTGGGTGTTTTATTTGTTACTTTTTCCTTAATTGTCGAATTAATCTCACAAATTATTCGTATCCCGAGCTCTACATCTCAAATATTACTCTCTTCTAATGCTAAGATTTGAAGGACCGTCGTGAAGTTTTTCTCTAATTTCGATTAAAAATTTTGGCTTGAAATAGAGTCGTGTTCATTAAACTTTTTGAAAGAAATGTTTTGTGCGAATACAAGAGGGAGTTCATCTCATTTGACTCTCTCGTTTTGCTCCCGAATTAGTGGACATGAAAGCGAAAAAGTTTTATTCAGAGTGAATCAAATCTCCCCAAGCAAGCAAATTATGGGTTTGAAGGCCAATGTCGGGACTCTATAGTAGCTCACACGCCAGCGGATTACGCCACGGCTCTACGTATACTAGAGTTGATAGACCAAAGAGTACACAAATACTAGAACAAAAAATGGAATTATTTCCCCTTCGAATCAAAATCATGGAACCATAACAACAAGATTATTCAAATACTAAAATGATAATCTAAAGATATAGCCTTAAAAGGGTTAATAAAATAAGATATACACTTGAATGGGTTGGTTCTTCATCAACAATAAAGCATGATAGAGACCTACTGCTCACCAATTCAAACTCCAAACTCCATAACTCATAATTCAAATAACTTCGTTTTTAAACTTAATAAAGAGAGAAGAAGGTTCATACCCACCAATGGTTTAATCTTAAGCTTCAAGATCAAATCCATTAGTTGGGTTACTAATTTGAAGCTGACCTGAAAACCATTTCCCAACAATAAAGTAATATCTATATCTTTATATATATATATATATATATATATATATATATATATATATATATATAAAGCTCTGAAAATGACAACCAAACACTTTTAATCACAAAGTAATTTTCCTTTGTTTTAAAATATCTAAAGCTTTCTAACCATATCATTCATCTTCTTCCCACAGACATGCAACAAAGACAGACTACAGTAGTTATCTACATTCACAAATCTGAATTACCTGTGATTTGAATAAATATCTTCCATGTATTATAAACTCTAATGGCCCAAGTCCACTGCTAGTGTCCGTTTTGTCCCGTTACGTATCGCCGTTAGTCTCACGATTTTAAAACGCGTCTACTAGGGAGAGGTTTCTACAACCTTATAAAAAATGCTTCCTTCCCCACTCTAACAAATGTGGGATCTCATAAGAACGCTCCAGTCTTGTACGCTATGAGTACAAGAATCATGTGAGTGATGGAGAAAACCTGAACAAATTGTTTCACAGAATACAAGCAACCAGCACCTAATACATTAGTGTTCATGAATGAGTTGGTTTCTTCTGGGAATTTCTTGGCTTCCAGAACTACACACAGATTGGTCCATTTGAAAAACAACTTTATGTGAGATGTAAGGGATCACTGAGATGCACACAGCAGAGAATTTCTCAAGAAATATTGTGACCTAACAGAACATATGGCTCTATCATTCACCTACCATGCAAAAACGACATTTCAGCAAAGCTTTATATAAGGAGGTTTCTCAATTCTTCATTCCCCACAGAGAAACGAGGCTGATAAACAACAATATAGGGAGAGAAAAGAGAGAGCTATGGGTTTAATGATTCGAGTTCTGGTTCTGGTGGCCTGCATTTTCCCAGCTTTGGTCGAATGCCGGGTTCGACATTACAAATTCAATGTAAGTCCTGGTTTTTTGATATCAATCACAAGCAAAAGGCAGGACCCTTTTGATACACAAATCCCAGCTTGTTTCTTTTGTTGTCTTGTTCCCTTATGATGATATGAAAAGGAAAGAGTAAAAGATTTTCTTTTTGTAACCTTTTCTTTCATTTTAAACATTCAAAAGGTTTCATTTGTCTTTCAGTAATCTACTGAACTTTTAAAGATCTTCGTGTCATCAACTTCATAATGTTTAGGCTAAATTTATTTGTATTATGGATTTTTTACCATTTTGTGAGATCTCACATCGGTTGGAGAGGAGAACTAAGCATTCTTTATAGGAGTGTGGAAATCTCTCCCTAACGGACACGTTTTAAAAACCTTGAGGGGAAGCTCGAAAGGGAAAGCCCAAAGAGAACAATATCTGCTAGTAGTAGACTTGGGCTGTTACAAATGGTATCAGAGCCAGACACTAGGGATATGCCAGTGAGGAGGCGAGCCCGAAGGGAGTGGACACAAGGCGGTGTGCCAGCAAAGACGCTGGACCCCGAAGGGGGTGGATTGTGAGATCCCACATCGGTTGGGGAGGAGAATGAAACATTCTTTATAAAGGTGTAGAAATCTCTTCCTAGCGGACACGTTTTAAAAACCTTGAGGGGAAGCCCAAAAGGGAAATTCCGAAGAAGACAATATCTGCTGACGGTGGACTTGGGCGGTTACAATTTCAATTAAGTCATCAATCTTAACGGTGGACTTGGGCTGTTACAATTTCAATTAAGTCATCAATCTTTATTGTGTACTAAATCTGAAATAAGGACAAATCCGACGTACTCGGGATTCAAATCTCTATTCTATATGTTAATGGCAGGTGGTTTTGAAAAATTCTACGAAACTCTGTTCAACTAAGCAAATCGTCACCGTTAACGGGAAGTTTCCAGGGCCTACTATCTATGCTAGGGAAGATGACACAGTGCTTATTAAGGTTGTTAACCATGTTCAATACAATCTTTCCATCCACTGGTAAGCCTTCGTCCAAAAAGTCCTATTTCACCTATCTTATGTGATGAACGCAAAGAATAAATGACTTATAATAGTATCTAGAGCAAAGTGAAGGATGATGCTTGCTTACCTTCTTTTTCTGATCAGGCATGGAATTCGGCAGCTTCGAACCGGTTGGGCCGATGGACCTGCATACATTACACAATGTCCAATCCCACCAGGGCAAAGTTATATGTATAACTTCACCATTACTGGCCAAAGAGGCACCCTTTTCTGGCACGCACATATTCTATGGCTGAGGGCG